GTCTAATTGGAAATTATTGTAAATATCTTTAAAAAGTTTCTGGTCCTTCATGACCTTTAATGTAATGATATTTTATGTAAGAGCTGCTAATTTTACACAAGAAAGAAACCCTCTGCTGTGAAGTATTTATCTAAGGAAGTTGAAATTTGAAAAATTAAAATTAAAAAAATATAACCATAAGAAGATTCTTAAACATAGTGAATTGATTCATGATGACAAACTATGAATTATTTCACAGTTAGATTCACTGAGCTTATTCTATTCTTTATATAAACTTGTCGCTTTTGTCCATAGCACCACAATGACAACTCTTGCAAATTACTCAACCTCTCTGATCATCTTTTCAGTGGCAAAAGAGAAAAATTCTACCTACATTGCAAGGTTGTTAGAGTGGTTAAATAAGTGAGAAGTCCCCAACATTTGTGCCTCTAACATCGTAAGTTCTTAGTAAATGGCATTATTTTGACTTAAAGGATTTGTGTATCCAGTCAAATTAAAGCATCTTAGCCAGGTGATTTATGAAGTCCTTCCCAGCCTTCTGGCCTTCTAAGTTTGTGAAAATTAAGCAGAATTTACACATGACTGCAGTAAAATATTTTTATTATATAGAAGGATTAGCTTTTCTACTGTGGTGGGCTTTCAACAGGGAAAAAGTTGTTTCACTAATGATCTACCACCATCTCATGATTCTAATAATATAATTATCTTACAATGAAAAATTTGACAAAATTTCATTCTTTGTGTTACCATAATTGTTATGACTGTTCTCACTCCTTAATCTTTCTAGGTACTGACTTTAGTAAAAGTTTTTTGTTTGTTTTGTTTTTGATCCCTTTAGAGGGAACAATAAGGAAGATGCAGGTGTGTGGGGGAGGTCATTGGGCAGACAGAGATGCAGTTATAAAACAGATTGTCTAATGAAACTTAGAAGTGATAAAAAAGAAAATGTTACCTGTTGAGCTTGAGTGACCATCTCCTTATAGATAGTATCCAAGCTGACATTTGATAAAGTGGTTAATGCTGATACAATTGTTTCTGCTTGTGCTTTGTCAAATCCTGTAGGCAGTAAATAGGTATTTATATATTTTTAAAAGTGCACATTCTTATCAGAATAGACAGCTGGAATAACTTTCCCTATAAATTGTTATGTTTTTATAAAATGGTTACAATAAAAATTTGGCAGATTATGCTAAATTACTCTCTAAAAGCAATCTACAATTTTAATGCCCACTGTCCATTATCCCAATCTATAGCAACACTGATATTACTAGTCTTATTTATTATTAATTTTTAATTATACATTTTATTTTGAGATACTTTTAGTTTTATTTACTTTTTAAATAAAAAATACATTTACATGGTGTAAAGTTGAAAATGTATGGTGAGAGGTCTCTGTTCCAGTTATATTTTACTACATAGCAAACCACCCCAAAATAGTGGCATAATACAGTAACAAGCAAGTCAGTTCTCCTTCAGGAGTCTTTTTAGTTTTTTTTACTTTTGAGTGTATAAGTGGCATAAAAAATGGTATTGCATTGGTTATTTTAAATATATTTTATTGATTTTTTACAGAGAGGAAGGGAGAGGGATAGAGTTAGAAACATCGATGAAAGAGAAACATCGATCAGCTGCCTCCTGCACACACCCTACTGGGGATGTGCCCACAACCAAGGTACATGCCCTTGACCAGAATTGAACCTGGGACCCTTGAGTCGGGAGGCCGATGCTCTATCCACTGAGCCAAACCGGTTAGGGCTACATTGGTTATTTTAATCTGTACTTAAAATTTGCATTTCCTTGGTCAAACATCTTTACATATACTTATTGACTACTGATATTTATTTTTCTGTGAGCTATTTGTTTATAGCTTTTGCCCATTTTTCTGTAAAATTGCTGAACTTTTTCTTATCAATTCATATGGACTCTTTATTAAAACATAGGCTCATTGTCATGTTTCTGCAAAAAAATATTTCTGTATCACATCTGTCAGTATTTACTTTAATTGCTTTAGAATTTTATGTTTTGCTCCCTCTAAAAATCTAAACATACTGAAAAATTTATTTTTCAGTAAGGAGATCATATATATTTTTCCCAATGGCTAGTTAGTTACCATAACTCATTTATTAAATAGTCCTTCCTTTCCCTAGCTGTGATATTTTATTGCTTGCTAAACCCATATATGTGTGTGTGTCTGATTCCCATTCTATAATCTACTTTTCTATGTGATATTACATATTTAAATGAATGTTTTGATATCTGGTCAGTTTTTGTGCTTGTTTCTTTATTTTCTTTTTTGCTGTTCTTAAACATTGTCCTTGTACGTCCACATTCTCTTCAGTATCAGCCTAGAAACTCATTTATTTTTTCTTTTTACATAATTGGAATCACTCTATACATGTAATTTTACATAATGCTTTTTTCACTTACATACTTGAACATAACCAAGCCATACCATTTTTTATGACTATAAAATATTCCATTGTCTGGATGGCACTTACATTTAAATAGTGACTCTTAATTGTTCCTAATAGTGATATTGTCTTGACTAGGTAATATATCATGAATGGTGTTAATTTACTTCTGTCGAGAGATACCCATGTTTCTCACCATGAGTTTCCAAGTTCTGAACCAATGCATGGGTATCAAAAGTTAATTTCCTTTGTTCTAAAGGAGTTATGTCCACTCGCCTTATATCATGTCCTTTGGTTGTGGTGGTTAAGAAGTCTGAAAAGAGAAGACAATATTTTTATTTCTTGTCGTAACTAACAGAAGCATCATACTTCAGCTTCTAAAGCATTTTCCCCATTTATTTATAATACAGTTTCAGCTCTTCTACTTAGGAATTCTGTAATTTCAGGCAAGATAACTGACCCTCTGAGTCACTGACTCTTTTATCCAAAAGTGTCTATCATTATTTGGCATAACAAACATTCAATAAATGTTTCCTTCTTTTAGTCTTTAGAAATGTTTAAGAGTCATTCTAAAATAATATACATCAAAAGCTTTGATTATCACTGCCACATCTCTACTAGAGAACATAAATTGCCCAACTGGCCTCAGTGCTCAAAAGTTTTTTTATAGAGCTATGAGAATTTTTAATGCCTATATCCCCATCCAAAGTAGCTTTCTGTACTCCCACACTCTTACATATTCTGTTCATTTCCCACATAGTTCTCAGTTCTAATTTGAAATTATGTATGGTTTGTCTTTCTGAATCACAATATAAGCTCCATGAGGCCCTGACTGGTTTTCATTACTGTTTTTATTTTTTATTAATACCTAGAACAGTGGTTTGAAATAGTTGGGCTAAAATATTTTGTTGAATCAATGAATTTGACTTTAAAAGCTGGAGTATTTACTGTTAACACCAAAGCCCTAGGAAGTTTCACATTTTAAAAATATATGTCCTGTTTCAATAAATTCCCAATTTTTAAGGCATAGAGATAGATGATGAGCAAAATCAGACATAACATGTTTTCATTGACTTTATAGGTCAGTAGGCAGGAAATAGATTTTTAAAAAATCTAAATATAAACTCAATTCAAATGATGAAAAGAGTAAGGGGCCACTTAAGGTTTCTCCAACAGATTCAAGAGCCATAACTTAGCAAACATGTTGAAGCATTATCGTTTACTTATGGTGATGTATTACCAGTATTATATGCACTTCAAAGTTCTCTAAAACGGTTTAATATTGTTTTCATTTGAATATGTAAACAAAGTTCACCTCTAAAAGTTTACACAGATAGGACTGAGATTGGGGTGACTTCCCAGGGTTCAAAAAATGCCACCTCCTTTTTGTAAAGGCCATCGCATGTGCATGCAAGTTACACACCTAAATACAGAACCAACCAGCTTGTGAAGGACCCTGGCAGCTGACAGCCTCTTACGGGGGGGAATCAGCAACTGCGTCTGACTGGGAGTAAAACGGAGCTTGCGCCGAACAGCACAAAACACCACGGGTGCTGGTTGGCATCTCACCCGGCACTGGAGATGCCAGGTGAGCACAGGATGCTAACGTTAGTGCCGAGCGCCCACCGTGGGCAGCCTTACGGGTTTAAAACTTGGTGGTGGGGGGCGGGGGAGGTTCTGAAAACTTCTCTCTGAATAAAGTCAGATGCCCTTCAGGACACACTGCTCACAGGGGTGCCCACGCTGAACCTGGAAGTCCCAGTACCCACACTGATTGGTTTTTGAACGGCCCCTGCCGATGAGCGCAGAGAACCGGACATCACGGCGAGAATAAAGCGGGCCCGGCAGACGCTGCAGCCTCCCCGTCACCTGGGCTCGGGGCCAGCTCCTACATAACAGTCTAAACGTGAAGTCTAAACAGGCCACGAGAAGACAGGTCTCTCCCGACACCGACTCCCTGACGCGGGCACCCGACAGACCTACGGGAGGGCGGGAGAACCCCAGGCCTTCCGAGGCTCGCTCTCAGGAGGGGCAGGCAGTCCTCCCCGCAGGCCTGGCCCACCCCGGGCGCGGCCGGGCAGCAGGGTCTCCAGCCACAGGAGAGCGGCAGGCAGGAGGGCGTGGCACCCGCACCCTCGGCCTGGGCTCGCTGGAGCATCCTTTCTCTGGGACGAACTCCGACCTCGGGACACGGAGCCTTCCTCACCTCTCCGCAGGGCCGGCGAGAAGCGCCCGCGGGGGGTTGAAACCCGGCGACCCACGAGGCTTTCAGAGCGCAGGAGCCGCCAGACACTGCGACCCCACATATCTCGAGTTTCCCGGTCAGCGGAAGCGAAAGGCTGGGTGGATCACGCTCAGACTTTCGGGGACGGTAGTTCTGGCGCCGCGAGGATGCTGGGAAATGTAGTTTTCGAACTGTCGCGACGGCACCGCCCAGCGCCAGCTCGCACAGCGGCTCCGCAAAGCCGGGCCTCCTCCCAGACGGACCCACAATTCACTGGCATAGGTCAGAGCGGCTCCGCCTCGCCCACCACCCTTCCCAGCACCTACGCGCCGTTACCGCCCTAAGGAAGCGGGATCTTGTCTTTGAACCTCCTGGCGCCCGCTTCCTGGCAACGAGGTACAGTTCAACAGCCGAATAACCCTGGAGAACTAGCGGCCATTGCGCCTTTGGGTCGCTGGGAGATGGAGTCACATTTAGCCGCACAGCAACCTGGGACCTGAAGTTCTTAGCCACTAAGCCTTCTGGGGAGGGAGGGGGGTCACATAAAACCCTTCTGGGAAATGTAGTCCAGAGAATTCCTGATTCTTGCTGCCTTACATCCTGCGGCTTCGCCCTCTGGTGCACAGGAGGAGGAACTTGAGCTGGTCGAGTCCCTCTTGAGGGAAACTGAATTCCTCTGCTTCTAGGGTAGACCTGATGATATGCACCACTTATACCTCTCAGACCTCAGTTACTTCAGACTTTGCTCCACTTGGTAAAATGCTGAAAGTAACAACACCCAGTAGTTGAGGAGCTAATACACTTTTTTTTTTTTTTGTAGATCTACAAAATGGCAACAATCATTAGTTTTTAATGGCTTAATTATTCTCATAAGTATCCAAACAGTTGCCACTAGATTTTCCTTGCTGTTTTGGGAACATCAGCTACGTAAAAAGTACCATTCTACCCACTGACGCACGTTAAAAAGCAGCCTAGTTTATCCGAACCTCAGAGGCCAGTAGGGGGCCAGAGAAGTGGGTCCTGGATTTTTCACTGTGAAGGACCACTTTTGTTATTAATTTTTACCCTATGTTCCTCAAATTTAAACACTCATTATCAACCACATGTAGGAAACCATTATTTATTTTACTATATTCAATTAATTCAAGACTGTTAGTGAGTACTGTAAGCAATGCCGATCCAACACCAAGCTGATACGTTTCAGCTGAAGGCAAAGGCACTTGCCAATTTGTTTGGTGGTTTCCAGTTTTATCTCCAGTGATGGTACAATTTATTTAGACATTCCGAAATTCCAGAACCCTCTCCAGGACCCCAGTGCTCGTTCCTCTGGGGCCCAGAGGTTTGGGGACTCAGGTTGGACACAATTGCATGAGATGGCATATGGCCTTCCAGCACAGTGACCGTAGCTTTGGTGACTTCAAGGAGAGAAGGTGCAGCCTGTACCACTCACACGAGTCAGGCCTTTTCTCCTGGAGTAGGTGGGAAGGAATCCCAGTGTACTTTTGGAAGCAGGTGAATGAGACAGAGAGACAGCACAGGACCCAGTGGTCTCCATTTCCTTTCTTAGCTTACTTTGAGTTCTTGACACTAGAGGGAGTATGAAGACAGAACAGAGGACAATCCTTTGCTCTTATTCCTGCAACTCATTTTACAGTTTATGAGTCAGAGGAGCCCATTGTTACAAAAGCTTTGTGTTACTTTATGTTAATACTAGAGGCCTGGTGCATGAAATTCGTGCAGGGTAGGTCCCTAGACCTGGCCTCCCCACCTCCCTGCTTCCTCCTTCCCTGGTTCCCTCAGTGCCCCGCTGCCACCACTGGTTGCCAACCATGTTCTGTGCTGCCCCCTGGTGGTCAGCACACATAATAGTGAGTGATTGAATTCCCAAGTGGACAATTTGCATATTAGCCTCTTATATATATAGACTAGAGGCCCGGTGCATGAAATTCGTGCACTGGGGGGTGGGGGTCCCTCAGCCCAGCCTGCCCCTCTCACAGTCCTGGAGCC